ATTTTAAACTGACATGCATGCGCTTATTAAAAGTGCGCAATATAATTTATATCTTAATTAATTAATTTGAAAAAGGTTCTCTTGCGCGGAACAAAATATAAAATGTCTATAAAGAAATATTGAAATATTTTTTAAATGAAAAAATAAAGTGTTTCCGGATAATTTCAAAAATTTGCAAATAAAATAAAACAAATAAACTTTTTATTGAAAATTGTTAGAACTGTACAGTTTAGATCGTTAGCTGGTCATAACAGTCGAAAAGTTTGTCAGATCGTCGAGCGGTATCGACGCGTTAGCCAGGTTGCAGGGTGGTGAACAACGAGTCTCTGTCGTGGACATGCACTTACGTGACTCGAAAGAGGAAACAGCAGCGGTGTAAAACTTTAGTCAGCTAACGGTCGCTACCACAAAATAAAACCCTGTTAGCTTGTTATTTTCTGCAAATCCAATTACACTGCATCGAGGGAGAAAATTCTCTCTCTTTGTTTTTATAGCTGTACCTTGGACATGGATGATCTGTTGTACTTTAAATGTAATGCCCATTTTTAGATTAATATAAAGAAAAATATCTCGAGAAGAATAAATAAAAATGAATAGTCTATGCAATATAAAAGTTGGTAAGATTTTAAACAAAAATGTCAAGCATTCGTGTTCAAACTGATTAGACTGAAAGTCTGAAGTAGATATATTTAACCCGACAGTATTTATATTTTGCATTATAAAAATTATAAAAATTATAAAAACTGAAATCTTTTTTTACCTTTGACATCAATTTTTATCGTACAGTATTTTATGTTAAATATTCTTTATTTTATCAATACAGGATGAATCATTTTAATTTTCTCAAAATCTGTAAATTTAATACAATAACTAATAAAAGGTATTGACGATTAAAACCTTTTAAACATTGCTCAAAGTCATGTTTCTATTATTTTTTTTGTATTGTTTCTATTATTTTTTTTGCATAAATGTTACATTAAAAATGAAAATAAGAACAACTTTCAATAGCTTTGACCTTGGCATCAAAATCATGACTTTGAACAACATTCAAAAGATTTTAACTGTCAGTCGGATATCTTAGATAATGCAAATATCAGCGCAACTTGAAGTTTCATAACTTGAAAAATATTTAATAAAAAATAACATTGTTGTAGTATTTTGGAAAAGTTTTCAAGTCAGCTACAAGAATATGTGTTGAAATGATTCCATTAAAAAAATTTTAAGTAACCTTGTCCTGATCCAAATAAGGACATCTTCTCGAGATCAACTAAGATCACCAACTTCTTTCCCCCTTAGCCATAAAACTTTTGTTTAAAATATTTTTGTCTTAAACTTACAGATTTGGAGAAAATCGACTGGATAAATTAAAATGGTCCATCTTGCATAATATTTTGTTAAATATGATATAATCCACTGATGTCTACTCTAGGCTCTTTTTTATTAACTCTATTTTAATTTTCTCTTTTTTAATGCTGTTTTGTTACATTGTATCATCTATGCCTCTTGGAAAACATCCTATAAAAATTAAAAACTAAATGATATATGCGACTGTTCTGACATTCGTTTTATTCTAAACGTAGATCAGTGGAAACTCGAAACTGCCGCGAATGGCATTGAAATAATATTGAAAATAAAGAAGAATGATATCTGATGCCGATAATCTCGAGTGAGGTATATATTGATTTTCTTTTCCTCGTCCTTCATCTATCCTTTGCTATCGTCGTTGTCACGACGGCAATAAACGAATACAATGAATAAAGTCCACGTGCTTGGTTAGGTATGATCAGGATCTTAACGTCAAGTTGGCGTGAGCCTTATCTGAGAAAGCGAGAGCCGTCACCTACATCTCGTCTGCGTTCCATCGGTTTCGTAAGAATCGCTTGATTTTTGAGCGATGGTACTCGGTTCATTCGGTTGCTTTTACTAAAGTTCATGTATTTATTGTCAAGGTTGAAGTTGATCACTCCTTTGCGGAAACTTTCAAGGCTCCCCTGGTATCATTTAATATCACGCGAACAACATTGATACAATTTTAATCTCTTTCAAGTTCGCTTTTTTTTTCGTCCGTGTTGATAATGGAATATCGTCTCGTTTTTCCCTTCTTTCTTGCTGTCCAGTAGTTCCAGTTTCCGATAGAGAGTGATAAACACGTGGTGATAAATCAGTTGGCTGGACGTGAACTGGCTTCGTGAAATTCCGGTTTTCACAGCACCGCGAATCTATGGTTATGGAGGTTGTACACGAGGCATTCGAGATATTCCAGTAACGATCCGTCGACTGTATATGCAGTTTCTTGGCAGGCTTCCCTAGTGTCCCCACTTTTTATTCGTTTCATCTTGCCGTGGTTGCTTCGCCAAGTCTAGTCCTAACACTGACCTAACAAATTGTCTAAATCGGAACATCGCGCAAGGAACGACCTTGTGAGACTCACTGGAAGACCGTGAATTTCAAATAATTTATACATGTCGCGTATAGCTGAGATTTAATTTATATAAGTGGAATAATGATCTGGAGAGATAAATTCCCCGGCGGTTTTGCTGGATTCACACTGGATCCGATGTGTTTTATTTCATATCGATGATACGACGCAAAATCCTGTTTTCTGATTGGTTGGCAGAGCGTCGTACGAATCCAGTGTGAATCCAACATGTTTCTTATCCGGAATTGCGAAAAAGACCTGTCCTTCGATATTTTTGAGCGAGCGAATTACTTGTTAAAAACATACCGTTTCAATATACTATTACCGCGCATCTACGTATATTGCAGAGAATCACCGTAAGTCGCCTTTCCATCAGCGATCAGCATCTGCTAAGTCGATCGCACGATAGCTCGACGGACGAGAATCAATACGTGTTCAGAGTTTACAATTTTCCGGAGTTTCCGTATACAAATTCCACTGCAGCATTAACTATCTCTTGAGTAGACATTGAATGCAATGAGCTACTCGGCAACCACAGATTATTTTTATAAATATTTGCTTACACTCTCGCTTACACTTCAAATAGAATAACAATTTTAAATTATACGTAAAACACGATTTTTCTAAAATATTCAAAAATTTAGATATAAATCTAAAAATACATAATTTGGCTCATAGAATTGAAACGCCAAATATTCAATATCGTTTAATAAACAATAAAGATTGTCCAATGAATTACGATTCAATTTATTAACATCTAATGTACAATGCAAACTTTCAACTTTAATAAGTTTTCATCAGTGTTTACTTTCAATCTATTTTTTTTAATTCTTCAAACCCCTATCAGATTACTGATCTTGAATGAATCCCTCTATTATACATTAAATAAATTAACAGTAGTTTACATATATATCAGTTTAGTACATTATTTTAAATCGATGTCTTCATCTTGTCAATATTGTCACTAAGTCAATGTTGTAATGTCAACGTTATCCAATTCTTCAATTAACATCGAGAATCTTATTAAGTCAATTATAGCCTATTATATATATAGTCTATTCTTTTTGTTTTCTCTTTATTTCACTTAACGAAACGATAGAGAGAAGAAAGCTAAATTTTGGATAGGTCTGTTCTAGCACCTTGAGCGTCTTATTTTAATTAGTTGAACAAAATTATTTTAGATCTGTATTTAGCTAAATTTTTAGATATTTTAGATATTTCACCAAAACAGTTCTTTACATATTCATATTTAAGAATAAGTTATATTCTTTTTGCCGACATTATTTGATTAACCAATAATTTTCTGTCAAATTAAAAAATACTTTTTCTTCTTTTCCGAAAAACTTAATTTTTTGCGTTGTGTCACTTTTGACGTAAGAGACCCAATATATAGATATAAATGCCGCAATAATGACGGAAAATCAAGATATCGCTTTCCTTTCGTCTACGAAATTATAAGATGAAAGGATTAATTATAAATTTATTTGATAAGAAAAATTATATGGGTACGGAATGAAATGAAGTTTTGGTGATACGGAGCATTAAGTACATTCAGAACGATAACCGCTCACTGAGCGCTCAGTGAACTCTTTCATCTGATTAGCATGTTCCATTAGATCCTAAAATATAGACTAATCAGATGAAAGAGCTCACTGAGCGTTCAGCGAACGCTTGTTAATTGTTCTGAATATACTCATTGATATGATCAAGAGACATGATAGTGTTTCGCGTCAAGTGAACGCGCAGTGCGAGGAATGAACACAATCTTATTTATTTCGTAAAATAACACAAGAGACATGAGAATCGAAATAATAAAAACAAAACAGGGTAATTAATAAGAAACGCGGTATACAAAACAAATAGTTATACTCTTTAGGAGATGATATAACTTTCTTTAAGAGATAGGGGATCACGTTACCTCAGGGTAATCGAACCCTTTCATCGTTTCTTCACGTTCTCTCGCGTAGTTTATCCTCCTTCTCACCCTACCTCATCCGCTCGTGTTATTAACATCCTTGTAGAGACGGGGTATGTAATCTCGTTGACGGACCTTCAATAAACGATGTACATCGAGAAGCGTGAACCCTTTGATTAGAAAGGGTAAAATGATTTTTCCCATGAACCCGTCGGCATCGTTGCTCGCGTCAGGGATCAATATTGAACGGCAATAATACTTTCACTGCGTCACGTTTCAGAGTTGTTGTTTGTCTTCGGAATACGGTATACCGAAAGCAATCTCATCGGATATCTTTATAATAAATGACTATTGAGACTACAATAGTAGTATATTATCTTTATTTTTGGCTACCGTTTATTCGTTCTTTTTTTTGCTCTTCGATTCGTATTTCGATACGACTTATATTTTCATTTCCACAGCTTGAAAATAATATCCGATAAATTCGAGCCAATAATAAATATAAAAATGTATTTATGTATAATTACGATATCATTTTATTCTGATTTATCATTAAACTTAGATCTATGACGTAACAATAGGTGGGATAGTTTGATCGAGAGACGCAATTCTTTTACCTACCGGCAGATGTACAAATTTAACAAGCACGATTAAAAATTTACTCACGATTTTATGGTGAAGATGTTGAAGTTCCCTTTCGGTTACTCTTCTACGGGACAATTCGCGTTGCTCCTGTCTATACTGATTGTACTTGTAGAAGAGATACATTCCGGGTAGGGCTAACACCACCAGAGGTCTCATGAAGCTGGATCGTCCACCCTCGCGAGGACGTTGTTCCGGTAATTCCGGGTCCTCCTGCGGCTGACCGGCTCCCTCATCGACAGCCGGCGCGGCTGCACCAGCTGCTGGCATCCTTCTACAAAATACCGAACAAAGAATTCAGAATTAATTTCTTATTCTGAATTAGATAAATTATGAATATTTTATAATACATAATATAAATATAAGAAAAGAGAATATTAAGTTTTAACTGTTTTTCAGCTAACAAGAAATAGTTTCGAGATGTACAAAATATTATATTAAAGAGTTGGTCGAATTGTATGATGATTGTTTATTTTGAAAAAACATTGACAGCATGAGAAAAATCTCCTTTTAAAGCCTTTACAAAAAAAATAGTTCTGTTGAGGTCTAAAAATTTAGCTAGATACAAATCTGAAAATAATTTTGCTGAACAATCAAAATTAAGCAGAAAAAATTATGTTAAGAAAACTCGAGTATGAACAATGCTGTGAAAAATTTTGACGTTCTAGCAACATCTTACATAATTATTTTGATATTCCAAAATTATTATCGGATTTGTATTTAGCTTTTAGATATTTCAGCCAAAATCGTTCTCTGTATAATATTTATGCTCGTATTCATAGTCATATTTTATACTTAATGTTTCCTTAAATTTATCTTTAGATGCTCAGTAGCCGATAAAATAATTCGTAGAGCATCTGAAGATAAATTTAAGGAAGTTAGATATAAGGCCGACTATGAATATGGACAATAATTTATGCATTTCGAAACTTTTTCATGTTAGTTGAAAAACTGCCAAAACTTAACGTCTTCTGTTTGCAAAAAAGAAAGTTATATATATATTGTGTTGAACGATTTATATCTGGATAATACCTTTTTTATTCTGAATATTTCTCTCTGAATTGTGCTACAACTGCAGCATTATTGTGAAGCTTAATCAGCTAACGACAAGGAATTCTCAGTGACCGACACGATGTACTACTGCGCCACACAATATACTCGTCCCGGTGTGCATTGTGGCTTCATTGAAGATATCGAATCACGATGCCAGCTATTCCGCTCATTTGAAGAACATCCGGCGAACTGAAAGCGTCTAGCTCGATTATTGTAATTTCCGATTTTTCTCGCTTAATGTACATGCGTTTTAATGTTTTAGTCTTTTGATTTCCCTTAAATTCTAAGGTATTAATTCTCGCGAAAGAGATCGACAATACGCGGGATTTTAGTTTTTTGTTGTCAAACGAATGGCGAATTTTAGAACAAAAGAATTAGCTATTGCTCATTGGTTTCCATCAAATTCATTCTTTTTTTACTATTCGCCGTTGCGATGCCGGGCCAGTCGAATTAGCTATTGCTTACTGGTTTTCATCAAATTCATTCTTTTTTACTATTCGCCATTGCGATGCCGGGCCAGTAGGTGCGCATAGGTCGTTGCGTATTCCCAACACGAACTTATCCTTCTACTTTCTCTGTCATTTCTAGATATTTATAGTTTTCTCTAATGTATGTGTATGTGCTCCGTACTATGATATCTACAGGAAAACGGTTTCTCACCCATATATCCTTAAATCTCGCGACTTTAATCTCACAACTGTCGGAACTGCGATTATTTCCGCAAACTCTTGTATAGGTTTTGTATTTCTTGATTTAGAAGCAAAAAAAAAAGACGCTTCATACTTTTTAAGTTAGATATGCCTTTATATAAATTCACAAAGTTAGCATGATATATTTTTAATTTTATTTTTTAATATAAAAATAAATGCAAAATTCTTTTTTTTTTATTTCAATAAGAAACTATAGAACTATGGAAAATACTTAGAAAGTGCAAATGGAATTGTTATTTTTTTTTACATTAACTAGAACAAAGTACGCTATTCGTACGCTATTTGGCATTTGATACTATTAAAAAAATATACATATAAGTGGTCAAAATGAATAGTCATAATCACTTATATCTATATCAAATATAAACGATCACAGTGAGCAGCGTGTAAAGTGTACTAAAATATAATTTTGTTTTATTTCTTTTATAACAAGAAAATGACAAACGAAAGAGAGAAAATACTATCATTTTCACATCATCTTGCAGTAACAGACATGATGTACTTTTTAAAATAAATAGTGGTTTCTCCATTAAATCCACTTCTCATAATATTTATCCTATAATAATCAGAAGATGTCGTTAAAAATTTTTAAATGTTTTTTGAAAAAGTTTAAAATGTATTGGATGTTTTTAATATTCAAATTTCTTTTGGAGATCTTCATTGCACAATAATTTTTTATCATAAACTTTATTTATTACATTTCAATATAATCAATTTTATTTTATTTTCCTTTTGTAGTTTAAATTCTATTACACCTTCAATATGGTAAAAATAAGGAATATGAAATTTCGTATGAAATTTTTTAAATTAAACATTTATTTATTGTTACTCTGATATAAATACGGTAAATATTCAGAAGCCACAAATAATTTTAAGATTTTAAGAACTATCCCCATATCCTCTCTCCTGCTCACGTAATGATTTTTCATGCGAAGCGAAATCCATCTCATCCCCTGCTAAAGGACGCACAATCTTTACGCGAAGCAAGTTTTAACCCACCTTCTCCCCTGCCTGGAAGCGCACGACTTTTCACGCGAATAGAGTTCCTCCTTATCTCCCCCTTGCCAAGGGGGGGGTATGATTTTTTATGCGAATAAATCTTACTTTGACAGGCGGAAAGATGGGGTAGAAAGTGGCTCGCTTTCTGAAAAGTCATTATGTCCCATAAATAAAGAGTGTATTTATTACTATATATACTAAAAACAAAACAATATTTTTTAAACTTTTTTATTAATAATTTTTTAACGAATAATGAACGATGTTAAACTTTGTTAGAGATTATTTAAGATCATGAGCTTGACAATCTCAAAGTCAAGGTCATCTGCGCTGGCTGCCTCCATCTGAATATTAATCATATGAAGATTTTAAATACATATGAAGACTTTAAATTTATGCAGAACTTTTAAGAAATATGTTAGCTACAATTCTAATCTAATTAATAAAAATCTAATTAATGAAAATCAGCAAAACTTAAGTCTAATATAACAAAAAGATAAAAAATGTAAAAGCGTAAAAATAATTCATATTTATTATATATAATACAATAATATATAAAAAATAAAATAGTATTATTGGATATCATTAAATTTTTTTTAGAGTTGAAGTTTTAAAAAATATATTTTTTAATTTATAACGTATTGAGTTTATAAAAGAAACTTATTTGTATTATTAATAATTTTAATTTGATTGCATTTTCAACATTAAGAATGGTACGATTGAAACGTCTGGTTTAAATTTTATTATTGTTCATAATTAATTGTATTAAATAAATAATTGTATTAAAAACCTTATACGTAACTCTATATTTTGTCGTTTGAATTAAATGAGAGCTTTTTGTTATTATTTTGAATAAAAATAAATCTTAAAATAATTACGTAAAATAAATATTATTAATATCTAAAATAGATATTATTTACAAGAAGAGCTAAAGTATTACATCCACTCCTTCCACGCCTTCATCTACACTTCTACACTTTCCTCTCTTACTTCCCACTTCCCATTACTTTCCAACATAATCTTTTCCTTCCTGCTCTGAATGTCAATTTTTTATTTCATTATGTCTCATAACATCGAAGAAATAATATATTGTTTCATTTCTTTTCGCATTGTCTCTAATTTCAACTGACTTTCTATGCCAGAAACACTTTTTATTTTTTGACTAAAGAAATTTTGATTTTTTACATCAAAGATATTTATTCGTATTAATTTATTTGTTACTAAATTATAAATTCATTTAATATATAGATATACATTTTGCAAATTTAACTTTTATTAATTTTTGCTATGCTCAATGTATTATATTGTCTATTTATAGCAATTTCTTCTTTTTACACAATATAACAATAATCTTGCACTGACATAATTCTTGTATATTATATTTTATCCACAAGACTAAATTCATTTCATGCGCTATTCCCTGTTTTACTTTATATCGAAAGACATTATTCAAGCTAATCAATTGACTACAATTATCAGACATTATTCAAGCTAATCAATTGACTACAATTATCAGACATTATTCAAGCAATTCAATGATTGACTGCAATTAGCTATTGTCATGCGACGACTTTTTCCAAGTTATATTATAACTGTGAACAGAATGATATTCGTTTTTATATTACCAGCGTTTGTTAGAGAGAGCGAAGTATAAATTTTTATTATGTTTTTTATCATTTATAATATTATATGTTTTTAATGTTGATAATGATCCAACCGCGATCGAAATATATTTTGTTTATTGCTAGCACATTGTATTAATATAAATTTTAACTAAATGATATATTTCTTTTACTTATGTTTAAACTTCTATATATTAACAACGTTTAATTTTATAATATAATTTTTGGATCGTAGTCTTTTTTCTTTATTAGTTTTTTAAAATTTATGAGCCTTATTAATAAACATTCTAAAGTATTATATTATGAAGCATCGAGTGACTTGCCGCTCGGTGCGATTGACTCGCGATCTGTAGATTCGGGTTCAATCCCATCTACGCTAATGCAAATCAAATAATTATCTGTATTTGATAATTTGTGCAACTGCACGTGATATCTCACATGCTCAATTTTATCTTAATTATTAATTCGATTAAAAGAGAGAGAATTTCTAAAAATTTTTTTGTTATTGATTCTAACAAGAAATATCGTGAAATTGCGATAAATTAATTATCAATATACAATATTTTTTTCTAAGTGCCGTGATGTCTTTTACATTTAAAGTCTACTAAAATTGATATTGATCGGAATTTTGTTTTTAAATTACATACATATTGACACAACTCGAGTAATAGAGTAAGGTTACCGAAATCGCATTTTTCACTTAAAGGCTCAATTTAGAAATTATGAAAAATATCCTTAAGTTTTTTTACAGCATAATAAACTGCATTCTTTTTTCTTCCTGTATTTTTTTTGCGTTATTATAACATTTAAAATGATTTTTCTTTCAGTATGATGCGATTTTAATAACGAAAAAATTTGTTGCTTAAATCGCATTATACCAATATTCCTC